CAGCCCAGCCGGCAGATGTCCACCATGCGCTCGGCCCAGACCTTCTCCTCAGCCCTCGCCGAGATGCAGAAGTTTTATGGCATCACCGTCACTGGCGTCCTGGACGAGGAGACCAAGGCGTGAGTTTCTCTGTGTACTCTTGCTGTAGCAGAAGGCAGCTCTGCTCCTTGGTGCTTTGGCTCTGCCTGCACCTGGAAATGTGGGTGCTGTCTCCCCTTTTGGGGGCTGCACCCACAACACCTTCCTTGCCATTCCCTGGCCGTGGTGGGCTGAGCCCTGGCTCGATGCCTTCCTGGCAGGTGGATGAAACGTCCCCGCTGCGGGGTCCCGGACCAGTTTGGGGCGCAGATGAAGTCCAACATGCGGCGGAAGCGGTATGCGCTGACGGGGCGGCGCTGGAGCCAGAGCCATCTCACCTTCAGGTACCCCAACATCTCCAGGGCTTCCCACCCCCCAGCCCATGGAGAGCCATGGACCCCCTCAGGGAGCAAGCGCTGTCCCAGGCCAGCCCCAGTGAGCTCTGTACCCTCAGCATCCAGAACTACACGGAGAAGCTGGGTCGGTACCACTCGTACGAGGCTGTCCGCCGAGCTTTCCAGGTGTGGGAGCAAGCCACGCCACTGGTTTTCTGGGAGGTGCCCTACGAGGACATCCGGCAGAAGCGGAAGAAAGAGGCTGACATCATGGTGCTCTTCGCCTCCGGCTTCCATGGAGACAGCTCCCCCTTCGATGGTGTCGGGGGGTTTTTGGCTCACGCCTATTTTCCCGGCCCTGGCATGGGAGGGGACACTCATTTCGACTCAGATGAGCCCTGGACACTGGAGAACACAGATGTGTCTGGTGAGTTGAGGGCTGAGGAGGTGGTGGAGGTAACCAGGGGAGCCTGGTGGGCCCCTGGGTTTGAGGGCAGGGGGATGCACTGGTGCAGGCAGGAGTGGCAGGGAGAGCAGCTCCACCGTGGGCAATACAGGCAGCTCCTGCCGGAGCAGCCTCGTGGCAGGGTGTTAGGGCCAAGGACATGCCCCGTGTGCTGTGCCCTCCACCCCGTCTTGCTGATGGTGCCTTTCCCTGCAGGGAACAACCTTTTCTTGGTGGCCGTGCATGAGCTGGGGCACTCGCTGGGCTTGGAGCACTCCAGCAACCCCAGCGCTATCATGGCCCCCTTCTACCAGTGGATGGACACAGAGAACTTCCACTTGCCCGAGGATGACCTCAAGGGCATCCAGCAGCTGTACGGTGAGAAGCTGGGTGCAGGATCAGCCCAGAGATGGGCACACGTGTGGGGAAACTGAGGCACAGGCACTGCTGGTCTGCATCACCCCATCCCTCCTGTCGCCCGCCTGATCCAGGTACCGCTGACGGGCACCCTCAGCCCACCAAGCCTTTGCCCACCGTGACACCCCACAGACCTGGCAGGCCAGACCAGAGACCCCCTAAACTGCCCCCTCCAGGGAAGCCGGAGCGACCCGCCAAGCCTGGCAGCCCAGACCGACCTGACCAGTACAGCCCTGACATCTGCGACGGGAACTTTGACACAGTGGCGGTGCTGCGTGGGGAGATGTTTGTATTCAAGGTACCCACTGGTGGGACCTGCTTCTGCTCTTTCCTTGGGGATGTGGTGGGTCCATGGGTCAGAGGGCCCTCCCGGCGGGATGTCTGGCACGGGGACTGTGCCCCTGTGTCCCCCACATCCTCTGCCAACACCCCTTTTCCCACAAGGGCCGGTGGTTCTGGAGGGTCCGACACAACCGGGTGCTGGACAACTACCCCATGCCCATTGGGCACTTCTGGCGGGGCCTCCCCGGGGACATTGACGCCGCCTATGAGAGGCATGATGGGAGGTTCGTCTTCTTTAAAGGTGAGCAGGGAAGCTGGGTGGGAGGGCTGAGGCAGGGGGGGACCCCAGTGT